GTGATGCTGAAGCACATTCTGTCGATGGCAGCAGCCTCCATCTAGATAAGCATGCAGATAGTGTGGTGGTTCTCAGCTACGAAGATTAATACTAAAATAGGGGCATTCAAAGTTGTGGGGACAAACACATAAAAAATGTAGCCGAGATTTTTTTTTGTGCAAAGTTGTTAGCCAGGTGCTTCATACACTGAACAAACCAGCAATTGGAATTTACAAATCACACAGACTATGATATGGGAACATGACCAAAAAGGTGCCTAACCAGGAGAGCAGATCTGAGGAGATCAACTGCCCACGCTTATTCTTCGCCTATGGGAACACGCCCTACGGATGATAATTGGAAAAGGCCGGCTCCCCACAAAAACAAAAGCAGTTAAACAGGAAGTTACTAAACAAATCATGTCACTTTGCTCTAACGCATCTTTTCTGGCTTCTCCATAACGGCACAGCCAGCAACAGATCATGTCAACAAAAGGCCAATGCTCATCACTCATCGGTAGTGTAGAGGGGCACCACAGTATGACCAATGCTCATCACTCGTCAGTAGGTGTAGGCTCTAGAGTTTTAAATCATGGACCCTTGAATACAATAATTCACAACATCAAAAATTCTGTACTGAAACGGCTGATAACTCATACTGCATGGAACAGCTAATATAATAATCTAATATGGACATAATATATTATAGGGGACATTTCACTGCTACATGTACACATGGCAAAAACATCTTCTTTAGCGAGAGCATATATCAGTTGGCAAGTTAAATAAAAGTTCATAGATAGGACGACGCACCTGGTAAAGGCATATTCAGCAAGTAAACAACTGATGAACTTATAATTGCAATTGTTAATTATGCACCTTTCTTAATACGAAAACAGATGAAATATGTACCTTCGTTCAGTTGCGCGATGCACTGATCCTCCTTTATCATCATCCAATCAATACTGAAGATAAGCACTGGAAACATTCAGAACAACAGAAGACAATATAAATGTGAGCACTAAAAAACTAGAAACATTATAGCTTCATAAAGTTACCTCGATAATGACTCAAGCAGCGTCAACGCAGATCCACTATAATCGTGTGGCAAGCGTTCAAGCTAGAAAAAAGGAATGATGGGTAACATTAATTAGTGGTACCTTAAGCTCATATAGTACAAACCAAAATCTTTAAAGTTGTCACTACTCTAATACATTGAAGTTGCCAAGCTCACTAAAATTCTTATAGTAGGATGCCACTTTAAACTGAATAAGCACCACATTATTTTTTGCCTATTGACCTCATATAAAAAAACATGACCAACTTGGTTAGTGCAACGAGAACAAACAGGTAAAAAAACAAACAAATATCTGTTGTACACATCATCTGGCTTATATTTTTTTAGTTCAAAAATCTTGTATTTAGAAATAGGAGCATGAAAACGGCGAAACACTAAGATGCTCTGTAAAAATTTCAAGCTAAAACTTGCGCGGTTGGTGTGGTGTTCCAAGTTCTTTTTTAAGAAATAAAGTGGTGTTCCGAGATTTGCTTGACCGTAGGCCTATTAATGTAATTGTGTGCCAATAATATTAAAATAAATTTCATAACCAGGTGTCTCACTATAACAAGGCATCCATGCATGCAAAAGTTTTAAAAGTAGCATAACCAAGATAGCATTCTAAATGTATATAGCACTTTTATTCTAGAGATAGCATAATTCAGTTGCCATATTACGCTCCAAGTATTAGTTCTAAAAGTAGTATAATAGGAAAATCAACTGGCATGGTTCCTGTAGGCTGGCTGAAATAAACATGCTTTGCTCCTGTTATCACGCTGAGATGACACAAAATCTTACTATATTCATATACGATTGTAAATGAGACTGCTCAAAAGTAACCTGCATTCTGTAGGTTTCTGAGAATCATCATACAACAGGAAAAAGAAAATAGAGAACCCAAGCAACAGTATGCACACCTAAATTTCATTCCAGTAATACCGAAATCATTTTGGATGTGCAAATGCAAATTAAACCACAAAGATTTTTTATATAAACCTAAAGTTGTTTCTATGTGTAAGTAGCTAGCCTTCCAGATTTTTCAATACAACCTTGAGAGACATCTCATCAAGCAATTTACACCGCACTACATCTTACAGTCTCCATGCAGTGCAGATATTTGTGTCAATATAGATATAGCAATGTTGAGAAAAAACATGGACATATAGAGAAGCTGCAGGTGAAGAAAAATGAGAAATTGACCAAGATTGTAGCATCACTTAAAATTAGTTTGCTATTGAGTGCGCGTGAATCCAATCTATGGGTACAGAAGTGCCAGTTATTAGTAAGAATACAGAACAGCTGTAACTAAGTTGACAAAAAGTCAGATAGCCATATTTACCTGCCTACCCCTATGAACATCAAAAAACAAAAGCAGTATAATTATAAAAGCCAGGGATAAAAGAATTACCTGATCTCTCTGAAAAAAGTAGATAAACATTCTACAGTGAATTGTGTCTACAATGGATGCAAGGTAAAACATAGGATCAATCATGGCTACTAATTTCCTTTGTCTAGAGTCATATAGGAAGTAGAAGCAAATGGATAGAACACTACATGCATTCGGAATTCCATAATAGCACAAATTTGTTACACAAGCTATGAAGTGCATAGACAATGTTGGCCCAGCTACGACCAGTGTTTTCCTGCTAGATTGCAGCTATTGAACTCCTAGTACTCCTAATGACTAATACACTGAAAGGATATGCAGGTACTGGTTTCAGCGAATTGATGACAAACTTGTTGTCCAGACTCAATAGCAGCCATCTGCCAACCAGTCAGAGGAACCACACACGCTGCATTCCAGCTGAACTGAGAAACCAAGGCAGCCTGGCAACTACTGCTTCCCAATAGGTTCCGAAACAGTACACAAGATTGTTGACTAAACAACTCCCGAATTGAGCACACAAAACGAAACCAATAGCAGGTAGGAAAATTAGATAAGGGCAATCTGTAGGTACTGCTTTGCTATTGTTGTGTATCTGAAAACCATTGTTTCAGAAGCAGAATAGTATGCAGGCTTCCAACGGAGGTTCTAAAAAATTCATCAGAAACAGGTTAAAACCAAATTTGATTGTAATGAAACCCTAAACACAGCCGTAACTCAATAGACCAAAATCAGTGAAACATGAAGAACCGAGGTGACTGAAAATAGCCCGAATTCTAGAAAAAGAAAAACACAAGAACGAAAGATAGGTCGTCATCATTGTTGTAAGCATTAAGCATAATTTATGATGTAATTATCAGATATTATAGGTCATCACTTGATCATGTTCTCGGAGCATCTGAGCATATACATGGAAAACTACAGAATGGACGAAAGTACAAGAAGCCCATCAGCTTATATCTTTCCTCACAACAACTGATTGCTCAGTACCTCACCAAAACCGATCATCAGCTCATATCTTTTGTCATCACGTACTCAGTTAAACCTGCCATGTTCTTTCCATCAAGATATTTGTACCGATTCGAACCTATCTACCAATTGGACAAACAAATTATAGATCAAATCAAAACCAAAGCACATGACATGTCGCGAGGGAGAGAAGGCGGGCGAGAGGGAGCGGCGAAGAGAGGAAAAAAGGGGAAGGAGCCGGGAAGAGAATCAGAAGAAGGTGTATATATTTGGTGGGCCAGCTCCGCAGGAGAAGCCATACAGCAGCAAGGGAAGCACGAAAAAGACAAGAAGCAGGCCCAGGATCCGCTTCCAGCCGAATCCGCTCTAGACAACCACAGCCACACGATGGAAGATCCAACGGCTGTAAACATTTGAGGAGACGTGGCCGGTGGTTCAGTTGAGGAGCTGCACAGGTTTTGTACCGTCGCCACGCCCGCCGCCGCCTCAGAGAGAGAGAGAGGGCGAGAGAGAGAGAGAATGGCACTGTTTTTTTTTTGCGAGGAGGAGAGGAAGAGCCACGAGATATTTTCGTGGACATGTGGCTGGGTTTTTTTTTTGGCGACGTGGTCAAACGGTGGCCAAGCGAAGGTAAGCGGACCAATGAGAGAATTTGGGGCGACGTGGCCGGTGTCCCCTGCGGGGGGCTAACCTTGTGATTATAGGAGAGAATGTAAGGCCGGCCGCTGGGGGTGCCGTCGCCCCGCCTGCCATCGCGAAGAGACCGAGAGAGAAGACAGGGAGAGGGGAGGGGGGAGGGAGCGTGTGTGTCGGGTTTTTTCTTTTTTTTTTTTGCAGTGAGGAGGGGAGGGAGCAGATATTTTTGCGGCTGAGAACAGTAACTGGACGGTGGAGGTAACGGGAGCCGCGAGATGAGGATCAGACGGACCAAATCTTTTTAGGCGACGCGGCTAAGGTGGCTGCGCGGGTTGAACCTTGTGATTGTAGGGGCTAATGTAAGGCCGGAATCCGTAGGTGCTCGTCACGTGTCACGATCCAGACGGGACCGTTTTGTCTTCACCTCTTGCTTACGCCGGCAGTCAGAAACACGTGTGCCACCTCGTCGTGTACCCCCCTCGGAGAGGTTTCCCTCGAAAGATTTGATGAAAATTCAGTTTTGACTCTTGATCACAGTTTATTTATGTTCACAAAAACTACGGATAACAAAAGGATTACCGCGATCCATGACGCATTTAAGAGCACACGCAGGCAGGTTTGCCTTTAGTTTTCGGGCAGTCCAGCGACACTTTCCCTCCCGGTTCGTTGGGGATCCGAGAGTTCTGGGTCTGCGCGGCGACTCTGGCACTCTGCGAGCTGCGATGGATCGATGAGTGGCCATGCGACCTCGACCTGCCCTTCTCTCACCCACCCTAAAACCTCGACACCTCCTCCTCCTCCTCCTCTCTCTCTCCTTCCCTCTCTTTCTCTAGAACGCGCGCAAGAACACACACACACGTAGGAGAAGCCGGACCGAAGCACCAACCCAGGTCCCAACCACTTAATTAGGAGGGAGGGGAAGGATCGTCATCCAAGCCGCGTGACCTTTAATTCGCCGCGCCGCACGCCCTTGTCATGGAAGGTGGCGGCTGGGCAGCCGGAGGCCACGTTCTTGGCGCCGCCCAGGAACCGCGGGGGCAGCAGCAGCAGCAGCGGGAGGAGGCGAAGGAAACCGAGAGGAAGAAGGGCGCTGGCGCTGGCGGCGGCGGCATGAAGTTCCGCGTGCGCGCGCGGGCGCCGCACGGCGTCGGGGCGCTACTGCTCATCGGCGGAGCGGCCGTCGTCGGGGCCGCCGTCCTCGCGTGGCGCCGCTCGCGCCACGGCAACAAGGGTGGTGCCGTGGACCAGCCTGAGCGCCGGCTGACAGTGTACGTCTCACATCTGTTCAGACTTCAGAGCCGCTTTGAAATTCGTTAACTTTTGTCGATTATAAGGTTGAATGTCAGATGATCTGTAATGTTTCCTGCTGGGCGTTGGAGCTGAAAAGAACGTTTTGTTTGGGGTGGATTCTTTGCAGGAAAGAAGATGCTTTGGATGGCGGAATTGTCGAGGATGGGAAGGTGAGGAGTCATCTATCGCATTCATTGATGGGAACTGGAGTTGTTGGGTTCTTCCCTTTTCTGGTGAAATTTTACATGCAAAGTCGGTTCAAATTTGTAGGTTCAGGGTGGCTCATTGGTGAAGGAGCTTGGTCGGTCCGATGAGAACTTGAGCGCGGGCAACACCGATATTGGATCCAGTAGATTGGTTAGTGCTTCTGCTCTGTATGCATAATTTTTCATAACTTTGTTCATTGGGGTAGTACCGTATACATGTGTATTCTGTCGTTGTAGTGACCTTATGTCTCTGTTAAATCTTCTGAATAATGGTGTCAGGATGGCAACGTGTCAGAGGAAAGCCATCAGATTCACAAGGATGATGAAATCACTGCAGATAAATTGGTGTGTTTCTCTGTCCAAACGTTTGGATTAACTTCCCTCAAATAATATACATCAATATTGTATTTTGCATGCACTGTGATTGTTTAAATGGCTTCATTTGGGAAAAAAATTGGTTTTCAGGAGAGCAAGCATGAGGAGAGAATTAATGAGAATTCAGGCAGCAATCCTGTCGAGGTCCACACGCACGATCTGGTTAGTGTTTCTTTGCTATGCAACATTGGGAAAACTGAAACCTTTATGCTATTTGCATGCACTGCGATCATTTAAATGGCTTTATTTGGGGAAAACATTTGGGTTTTAGGAGAGCAAGCCTGAAGAGAAAATTGATGAGAATTCAGGCAGCAATCCTGTTGACGTTCACATACAAGATCTGGTTAGTGTTTGTTTGCTATGCTACATTGGGAAAAACTGAAACCTTTATATGCTATATTTGTGCAGTGATTGTCGTAGCCTCATAGGTACCTTCTGTTCATTTCTTCTGAATTTGAGTTTCAGGACAAAGAACATGTCGAAAAAGTTGAGCAAAAGTCAAGCTGCAACCATGTTGAGATCACTGCGCATGATATGGTTAGTTCTTGATTGCGAAGCATAACTGTGAACATTGAAACCATATTGCTATATATGCAGTGGTTATTGTAGGTGCCTTATGTTAATTTATTTTCATTCTTCTGAATTTCAGTGTCAGGACAATGAACATGTTGAGATAATTGATCACGTTGAAGGAATTGATCAGAATTCAAGCAGGAACCCTGTCAAGATCATCATTCAGGAAATTGTCAATGCTTGTTTGGTATGTACAATTCTGAAAGCTGAATCCTTTGTGCTGTAAGTGCCTGCATAGTTGCATGGGCATTCTCTGGAAGTCTGGAGCCTCATTGTGGCATTTCTATCTTTGCATATGCTTCTAAATTTTTGCTACAGGTCAGTGGAAGTGTGGAGAAGGTTGAAAAGGACTCAAGCAAGGACATTGAGAAAGAGATAGCCCAAAAAGTATTTGTTTCTTTGTTCTTCGGCCAAAATTTTGGAATCTGCAATGTCTGGTCAAAATTTTGGTCACCTATGCATCCTTATTTTTTTGGGCTTGTTTCTTTTGAGCTGTGATTTTTTAGGATAATAAAGATATGGAGGCTTCTGATCAAAGCAAACTCTGCATCAACAGTCCAGGGATCATCCTCAGTAAACACAATGATGAGAGTGATGGTACTCAAGAGGCTGAATCAATGGAGAACACGCCGACGGCACAGCTGATGATGCATCAAGACCAACTCTTAGATGATATGGTTACTGATACTGTTACAGAAACAGAAGATACAGTTGCAGACACAGAAGATACTGTTACAGAAACAGAAGAAGCAAAGCAAGGTGAAAGAACAATCACAGACGAGAGTGAGCTTAAGCAGGACGAAAAGAAAGATCTGGTAGGACTTGTTGAACTTGCCAGCTCACCAGCACTGTCATCACTGGTTAAGCCAGAGTTTCCAAGACCCAACGAGACAGGGATGAAGGTAGAGCAAGATTATACTAACGGTGAGCTAAGGGAGCATACTGGCCTGATTGGCAAAGGAGGAGCAATGCAGGGAGAAGGTGACATGGCGACCATGGATTGCAGGAGTTCTGCTCTGGTCGTTATTGCTCTAATATTCGCACTGACAATGGGAATAACGATTATCGTGCGATTATACGCCCCTTCCCGAGCAACAAAACTCCAGATGGATCTGCCATAAGTTTGCAAGGGCAAAACAATGAAGCGCTATCAGTGATCAATATAATTGCTGAGGTTGCAAAGTTCCATTGGGGTTTTTTATGGCCTCATACGCACAGGCATGAACGGTGAAGTTAAGAGCTGGAGTGTACAAAGTACAAGATAGAAAGAAACGTCTACTACGGGTCATGAACAGAATTCAGATAGCCATTGTGCAGCACGATCTGTCTGTACTGGAATAGTTACAAGTGTGGTGCCAACTACCAAAAGGAAGAACTAAGGAGGTCCGAGAACAGTAGGATTCTTCAGGTTCAGGAGCGCTTGTTTTTTCTTTTTTAAAAAAATGTTATTTTGTAGGGTATGTTAGTGCTGATAAAATCTTTGATATATCCCAAACCATGTTGAGGTTCGTGCATGGTTTTGTTTGATTTACCCTCTCGTCAACCATGCATGTCTTGCAGCCCATCCATGATAGACCGACCCTGGCATGTCTAAACATGTGTAATACTACCATTGCGAACATACAGGTGAGACATCATCCATCCATCCATATATAAGCTACATGTATGGAGAACTTCTTTTCAGCAAGCGTGGAGAAAATAAAAATAACAAAAAAGCGACCCAATCACGAAACAGAGAAGATTTGACAACAATGCCCGACGCCCAGACGCACGCCTGCGCACTACACTCATTTTCGTGCTCCACGTGGGGCCCGTGCTGCCTGAGCGACAAGAGGGGGGAAGGACGCGTAGTGCCTCCGATTCGGAAGGACTCGGCCGCGGCGTCGTATGGATGCCCTGCCAGTACCGGGAGAGATGATGGAGCAGAAGATGGGGAGGAGAGATGCAACACCCGATCTAATCTTGAAACATCCAAAAACAACAGTTGCAACATACGTCTCAAGGCAGTTGAAACACTTGAAACATGCTTCTAAAACACTTGAAAAAACACCTGAAAACACTTGAAAAACATTACAAACCATACGCAACATTTTAAATAAAACAATGCAACGTATTGTGAAACATATGCAACATCCAGATAAACACACTTGCAACATGCATCCGAAAAACACAGACGAAACATACCTCTGAAACATCGGAAACACTCGAAAACATACGCTTGCAACATGCCTCTGAAACAATTGCAACATATGCAATGTGTGCAACAACCCGATCTACTTTTTGTAACATCCATATGAAATAATTGCAACATATATCTGAAACGCCTAAAACACTTGAAACATACATATACAACGTAGGGGAAGGGAAGGCTGGGACAGTCGACTCCGGCCATCGGGGTTTGAGAGGGAGCCGCCGGGGGTGGGGAGGGCATTGCACCGAGGTAGGGAGAGCCGCCCACTCCCCTGTAACACCGTTGCGCCACCTCCATGGATCTCGCTCGTGCTCCATGGATCTTGCTGGGGTGGGGGAGAGGGCCACTGGATCCGTAGGCGTTGGGCGCTTCCGATGGGTGAGGACGCCGGGGGGGGGGGGGCGTTGCTAGGGTGGGGGAGCGCGCCGTCGCCGGCCAGGGAAGCAGCCATGGCCGTGTCGTCGGGGTGAGGCAGGGGCGCGAGTGCATGTGGGAGTGAGTGGTGGGAGGCGTCCGTCCGTCCGGACGTCTTAATAGTATCATTATCCTATAATTTATAGTTAGAACTTTGTAGAATCTTACTTGATTAATGAGACTAATAAAATGATCATGTTTCTACATTGTCTACTGTACAGTATATTTCAAGATGAAATAAATTGCACTAGAGGTAAAAAAAATAACTTGTGCAATATGGTGAGGATTCAGGCCCACTTTTTTTTTCTTGAGAGGAATCTAGGCCCACATGATCCAGGCCCACCTTTTTTCTTGAGAGGAATCCAGGCCCACATTTAAGCCTGGCAGGTTTTTCTTCTTTACCCGGGTCCCGGGAACCCGTACCGGCCCAGCGCTCGTGGAAAGGAGACGTCTCACTGCGAGGCAGATCGAGCCGCGTTTCCCGTCGCTGCCTGGTCGCGTGAATCCCCTCGAGCGCCGCCGCCTGCGGGAGCCATGGCGCGGTCCCCAGCCGCCTCCTCCTCGTCCTACACGGACAGCACGGGATCCTCGTCCGACTCGGGCTCCACCTCCTCGGGGAGCGACCGCCGCCGCCGCCACCGCCACCGGAGCAGCCGCCGCAAGGAGGTCGCGTCCTCGTCCGCGCTGAAGGCGCGCAAGGACCGGAGGTCTCGCCACAAACACCGCCGCCGCGAGCGGGAGCACTCGCGGCGGCGGTCCCCGTCCGACGACGACAGCTACAGGTGATCTAATGCCCCTTCTTCCCTCTCGGGGTTTCTCAACCTAGGGTTAGGATAAAGGGTTGTCTCGTGATCGATCTGGAAGGTGCGGTTCGTGATCCGAAGGTTGGAACGAGAGAAAGCAGCCTGTGATTAGTGTTGGTGTTGGATTCTGCGTTTCGTTCGTGGATTAACTCGTTTTTATGCTTATGTTGGGATTGATGGAACGGCGATTTGGAGGTCACGGTTTTTATTTGGATGGGATTGTACCAGATGTGAATGTTATATTGGCAATAACCTGGGATTTTTGGTGTATACATCATTTCACCTGAAATTCCGCATACCACATATCATAATTTTATCATTTCACCTGGAATTGCACAATTCTTGTTGTGTTCGAGAGTACATTTGAAATAGTTAGATACTGCAGCTACGGCAGTCTGAACCTAATGATGGATATTGTGTCCGAGAGTACATTTGAAATAATTAGATACTGCAGCTAAGGCACTCTGAACCTAATGATGGTTTCATGATTAGATGGATGAAGTCGATTTAGGGAGACTGATTAGGAGCAACTACGAAAAATTTGGTGAACATATATATGGCTTTCTGAACAAGCAACTGCTATAGCTGTTTTGTTGTTTCTGACTGAACAAAGGTTTCATGATTAGATGGATTAAATCGATTTAGGGGAGACTGATTAGGAGCAACTACGAAAATTTGGTGAACATATATATGGCTTTCTGAACAAGCAACTGCTATAGCTGTTTTGTTGTTTCTGACTGAACAAAGGAAAACTTATATTTCCATGAGGTTCTTCCTGGTTTTCTCATATTGAAGTATGTTATTCTCATTGTAGCAGCACAAGCTCTTATGACAGCGACCGTGAGGTGTCTGGCAGATCTCGGAAGCATAAGAAGAGCAGCAGATCAAGAAAGGTACTGGCCTTATTGATGTTTCCTTTCAGGTTTTCATGCGCAGGCATCTAATATGTCTTTGGCCTTATTGCATTTCCTTGTGTGCCAGTCTAGGGAGAGGGAGCGAAGCAAAGATAGGCATCATAAACGAGACAAGAGTAAACACAAAGAGGTAAATTTCCTATTTATTCAGAAACTACTAAACTTTTATGATGGCTTAATATAACATGTTGGGGATAGAAGTATATTTGGATCATTTATACTTCCACACAAGAGGTCCTTATATTTCTTTGTGCCTGTTTCTGGGCTGGCTCTATTGACATTGGAGCTGGGGTTGATGAACGGGTAACAACATGGTGGATTGGTCTGCTGCTTGTCCTGTTGGTGGGTTGGTTGTGTTCTATTATAAATGGGGGAGCTTTATACAGAAGAAAGAGAGTGAGCATGCTGATGGCCCTGTCCAGCTTTCCAAGGTATAATGTTTTTGCATTCTGTGTACTTTGTTGTGTTTATCATTTTGAAACACCCTTTATTTTATCCTTTAGTTTCTTGGACGCAACAAAGAAAGGGAAGAAGGTCCTCAAAGGAGTGCAATCTCTGGTAAAAAGGTGAGGATAAAAAACAAATGATGAAGGTGTCATTTCTCTTATAAGCACAGTGAAAAGCAAAGCGAGAGGTGCATTTAACTAAACTACTTCATTTGTAGATAATGATGAAGCTTGAGAAGACAAAGGAAGACAAGGCAGCAGAGAGCAAGCGAAATGAGCTGTTGAAGTTCCTGAATGCTAGTTATGATTGATGTGTTGGAATTGCTGACGCTGAAGGTGCAGAATGCCCTTTTGATTGTCTCCGCACTGGTGCTTTTGGTGATCCTTACAAGTGTTTTTTTTTTTTGTCTATAACTTGGCCACCAAAGTTTTTTATGATTAACTAGCAACCGAGTGAAGGTCTACTGTAATTGATTTGAATTTTATGTTGTCATGAATTACCAGCTTTTAAACTTGTTTTTGTGATTGCTCTGGGGATTCATTGTTCTTATGGCAGCTTACTGCAGTGGATGGTGACGCTTCAGTGCCGAACCCAATCGCTGTGGATTCATGAAATTGTTTTGGTATCCTTTGTATAATAATTTTGACTCGAGTGCCACTCCCTGCCAGAGATGCCGAGCTGCCCAAAATTTGATGTGAGCATTGCCTCAGTTGAACAACATCAACATTATAATTGTTTTGGTATTCAATGAAAATGGAATTGTTTTATGGGATTCTTGTGTTATGAAATTTGTTGCTTTACGTGGACTTCCCTAGTGCATATCACCTCATCTAAGGGTCGTTTTGGTATATACAAGGGCTAATCACGAACTAGCTAAAACTTAATCTAAATTAGCTCTAGTGTATCCAAACAGGAGGGTTAACGGATGAACTAATTTTTTAGACAAGTCTTTAACTAGTTGTTAGTCAACTAGCTAGTCAACCTTAGTTATTTTGAACTTATTTTTAACGCAACTAGTAGCTAGTCCTAGCTCATCCTAGATTTGTTCAGTACCACACCGTGATACACGGCTATCACTCTCTATGCTAGTTATTCAACTCATAGGGAGCCTAATACCTATGCTCATAGGATAGCCCGTAGTTCTATCCATACCGATGTAGGTCTGCATGTGTGGTTTTTTAGTTCACCTGATGATGTTTCTAATCATTATACAATCCTCCTAGTTAAATAAAGTGGGTGGTGTTGCTCAAAAATAGAAATCAAACGCTCAGCGAGCTATAAATACAGCCATTATATTTCTGTTGATTTGTTACTTGTAATTAATCTAATCCATTAGATATAAACATACAATC